GGATTAATCGGATTGATTGCTTTAAATAATCGGGAATACTCGTCGAATTACAAATTACTTTTCTGTTGATCATATGTAACATATGAACAGATAACTTTCCTTACTGATCCAAACAAAACTGTCAGCTGTTAAATTGTCAGCTATTTTGAAACATCGTTGTCACTTTCCCGATTAATCAATAGTCATGATAAATGCGTATCTAGAAATATGGTAAATTTTTAATAACTCTCGATTTGGGGAATAATAAAACATTTATGAATTTCTGCGTATATAATAAAACAATCAAGACAACTATATTAATAGCAAAATACTCTTGAACACATTTAAAAATAAAAATCTAAATATTATAATGTTGAGGCTGTAATAGTTTTTAAATGAAAAATAGAGTAAGAGCTACAGTTACTGGCACATTTATTTTTTAACTCAAATTTCTCGTCAAGTGAACAACGCTCGTATGTAACGTTCATATGCTCGTTTAAACTACTCCTTCACAGAACAGATTTACTATATTGTCTTAAATCTTTAACATTGCGTTTCGGAACAGACAGCAAAAACAAACTCACTCATAGCCCCGCCAGAAATGGCTTTAATAGACGAGGAGTTTAGTATGCTACGGGAAATCATTTATATTTCAGAAAAACTGAAATGCGGACCTCTATTATTCTTCATTTCGGAAAATCGGTTAAATTTTCGTTTATAAAAAATCGAATTTTTATTGTAAAAACTTTATTATAAAACTTAATTATAATTCCTGCCATATGCAAAAGTGTTAAGATCAAAAGAAAAAAAGACTAAGAAACTATCTGAATTAGTTTTTTATCATTTTCACTAGATTGAAAAATATACTCTCAAGAAAACAGAGTTTAAAGTTTTAGTTTCACTTTATCCATATTTAACAAATATTTCTCTCAGCGCACTTATAGTTATTCTGCAATACTAAGATATAATACTAGGATACTTTCCTTTTCATAAAAATTGTTTTCCGGCAGTTTATCTAATCGCCGAGCTATTCTGGCTTCTTTTAAAAAAAATGTGCGATGATTTGCGTTCATCTCGCGCTATCTCTTTAGTCAGTATATATCTTCGCTATACTTATTTTTCAATACTTATTTTCAAGATATTCATTTGTTTTAGTAAATTTGTAAAACCGTCATTGAATATACAGGTTGCTAAAAAAGTTGCGATAGATATAATTTTTGCACCAGAAAATATATATTTCGGTTCAAAGTACTGAAAAACTCCATTAAAACTTTCATTATTGTTGTGTGTTTTCCCCCGAAACATCGCGTTAAAGAATTATCATCTGACAAATCTTCATAAATTTTATAAATGGACGTTTGGACGTCAGAAGCGCGCGCGCCAGAGGCATTAATCGTGATGATAATTTTAAAATGTATCTCTGCGACGCACCAGCTGCACCAAGAATCTAATCCCAGAGGACAATCAAAATGCATAGGCTTTTCGTCGGTTGACATTTTATGATAATATCGCCTATATTGCATCTTTCATGCAATCTTTTTACAAAGACTATTGTTTCGTCTTATTACTAATTCATTACAGAGTTATATCTTATTACTAATTCATTACAGAGTTATATCCTTAGTTAATTTATCTGTTAATTTTCCTACTTCTTTTCTATCAATACCTTTATGTGACTTTTTAGCGTTTCTAAATCTATTTCCCATACGTTTTTGAATATATGCAATCTATTCTTTTTTTACCAATAATTCGTCTTCATATGAGTTTTCATTAAGGGGGGAAATCCAATTAGAACGAGGAAAAATAAGCTATTTTCAAGAATTTTTTTGTAGGAGAAAGAATTTTTCTATATTTTTCAAACTTAAACATTTATTTATATATGTTTTGGACTGTCCATACGTATTTTTTTTTCCAAAAATATTTAAAAATGGCGGACATATGAAGCATCCCATTTGGCAGGTACGCGTGCGAGTTGCTCAGCTGCTGGACAAATGGCGTCCGTGATATTGATCCTATAACAGGCAGCGAAAAAATTCTTATTATTTATACCCATAATTCGTAATTGAACCTAAAAAAATTGAAAAAAGTCAAAAATTTTGAATATGAAACGCTTATGAAAATAAATTTCCATTTTTTGACGTTTTCTCTGCACAATTTTTGCAATAAATAA